AAAACCCAATAAAATTTTAAGGATATCATATTAGTAGTACAGGATTGTAATAATTTATAAAGATGTACTCATTTAATATGATCGTCTAACATCACGAGAATGATTAAAGTTAACTTATTACAATTGAGACAAGAGTTATAATATTAAAATGATGTAAAAAAATATATATATTTTTTCCTATCCCTAGAGGAATCCTTCTCTCCCTTTTTGACTGGTTGTGGGCGATGAGGGATTTGAACTTTGGCCACATGTTCTAATCCTTTGAATTATAGGTCTCGTCCCATCTATATTGAATATATTCCAAAAGTATCCTTAACCAAAAAATAAAATAAATAAATAAATAAAAATTCATGTCCTTAATCATTTCAGGTTAAATAGAACTAAAAATGCTTCTCTCTATATAAGAATAACAACATGGTGCATTACAAAGAGAGAAATGAGAGAGAAGGGGTTTCATGATTGGGGTTTTAAATAAGACATCTTTTTGTTTTTCATTTTATTTCATATTGCTAAAATATGTTGTATTGATTATATAGAAGTGTTGATACGAAAATTCGCACTAACCTGAGAGAACCGATTGACTTGAACAGAATTGGAACCAGTGGCAAACTCAAGATTTTTGTTGAGGGGGACCTCCGCGCAAGGGCGGATTCAGCCCCTTTGACGGTAGGCCTGGGCCTACCCTCAGATTTGAAAAAAAAAAATTATTAATATATAGGCCATAAAAAATTGTTAATTAACATATATACCCAGACGCACCTTCAAATTTCAAAAAAATAAGAATTATTATACATACTATACAAAAAAACTTGTTATTAATATATATATATTCCAAGCCCACATCATATTAAAAGTTTAAAACTCTTTCCAGTGTTTTTCTACACAGCTTTACCTATTTTTTTATGATTTTATCTGCAAATTCTTCACTCTCTCTTTCTCTTTCTCATGTTATTCTCTCTTAAAATTTTTGAAGATTAAAATTGTTAAATTTTCACTACTCAAGGTGTCATAATTAGCTCTTTTAGGTATATGTATTGTTCATTTCAATTTAGTTTATTTAAAGATTGAATTATTATTTTTTTTTTTTGAGGTTTTTTATTCTAATTTGAGAAAAAAAGATATTAATTTTGTGAGTTTATTTTGTATTTTATGTCTAAGAATGAACCTACTTTCTCAAATTAAAACCTTAACTATATTTCAAATGACGTTATTCTTCATCCTTCACCCACCACTTTCCTATATTTTAAACATCACCGTTCAGTTGTTCAAAATTATTAAACAAATTTGAGTTACTATCTATGTTTATACTAAAAAAAATTCCGCTCTTTTATTAATTCATATTAAAAGTCAACGTAACGTTGACTTGATTTAAGTTTTGGTTGACTTTAGCTTAATTAGGCTATGTTTTATTAATGCTATGAAAATTTATATTATTATATTTGAAAGCCAAAAATAAAAATATTAAAAGAAGGTTTTGTTCAAGGTTTACTCAACACTTTTACTCAAAATTTTGCTTCTTATAGATTTATTCAAGTAAGAAAATATTGTGTTAATGTATATTCTTTTTTCTCAGGTTCTTAATATTGTATTATTATTTTTATTAAAGTTTGGTGATTTTTTAAAGTTTTCACTAATTATTGCTGAGCCGCAGAGGCCCTCCCTCGACAAAAATCCTGGATCCGCCACTGCCTCCGCGGCTCCGTCATTGTTAGTTAACCAACTAGTGAAAACTTTAAAAAAATCATCAAACCTTAAGCAAAGAAAATAATACAATATTAAGAAGCTGAAAGGAAATGATGCAATAACACAATACATTCCTATTTAAATAAATCTATGAGAGGTAAAACCTTGAGTAAATATCTTAAAAATCACATCCAATTTACAAGAAAACACAAGAAAATTTTGACGTGGAAAAACTTTTTAAATGTGAAGAGAGCAAAAAAAACCATGAATCCACTTAGATCCAATATAATCAAAAGAGTTCATAGCAACCACAATCCACCAAAAATATTTCATACAAATTTGGAGTCCAATCACAACTCTAATACAAGTAAAATAAATAAATGTTTACAAAGAAATAAATTAAAATCACTAGAGAAGCAGCCAAACTTTAAGTTATATAACTCTGAATCCAACTATTAAGATCAAAACTCAACCATCGAGATTGAAAATTTAACAAAACTTTGCCTCATTTGCTCATCCGCCAAACATACTACAAAAAATATACTTAAATAAAAAAAATTAGAATTTAGAGCAATATTACTAAACGAAAAGGAGGTAAAAAAAAGGAAAAAAGTTTGCCTCAAATTCTAATCAATCTAACGACTAAAAACACTTTAATAAATTAAAATAAAAAAACCGTAGTATTCAGAGCAAAATACAAAACAAAAAGACTGTAAAAAAGGTGAACAAAACTTAGTATCATTTTCTCATCAACCTAACAGACCAAAAATAACTTAATAAAATAAAATAAAAACCGTAGAATTCAGAGAAAATTACGAAAGATAAAGAAGGTAAAAAAAAAAATAATGAACAAAGCTTTGCCTCATTTTCTCATCAAGGAAACACATAACAAAAGTCTAACAAAAAATAACTAAGAATTCAGAGCACAAAAATAAAATAAAATAACCTAACAAATTAAAAAAAAAATAGTAGAAAAATCAACCTCATTTTCTCGGTAACCAAACATGCAAGAAACAGTTGAAAATAGCAAATACCTTAGAATTTAGAGGTTGAAGTTGAAGAGAAGAGCGAGCGTGAGTTTGTGTTCAGAGGTTAAGTCTTATATCGTTGCACAAAATTGACAATTATTGGTTTTGAAAGAATGATCATTCTTTCAATTATCTGTATGAGTTTTTACCTTTTTTTATTTCAGAAAATTGGTAAAGGTCATTTGTAGAAGTGGTTTTTTATTAATGTTATAAAGTTTACTCTTGATGAATTTTAGGAGAACTTTATGATAATCTGCAAAACTTAGGAGAATTCTTGTCGAAGCTTAATGTTTTAACTAAATTTCAAAGGACATCATTGCTAAATGTAAAGATAAACCAACAATCAAATATAAAGAACATTAAAGGATTTTTAAAGTGGTTCGATAAGTTAGAACTTGAACCCTACATTCACTATTATCTTATTGTTTTAGAGAGTTTAAATAGAAATATAATATGCCTAAACAAATTTGTTAACCCATCTCTCATCGTTTGAGTTGAGTTTTTATATAAGTTATGATTCATGGAAAGAGAGATAAGTTTGGGATTGCATCAGAGTTGATTTGCAATCCCGCGATCTTCATGATTGAGCGTTGAGATTATGCTGCTAGTGGTGTTGCTCTTATCCCTTCCGAAATATCCGAAATTGAAGCTTATCTTTGATCTCATTAAACAACTACTTGGATTGGCCGCTATGATGAGCTTCACCTGGATCAAATTTACTCTGAATCAAACTAATTCTAAGTCAGTCGAGTTGATTTTGGGTCGAACTATCTCTCTGCGAGCTTCCAAGATCTGCAAAGTCCTAAGGCAAAATCACACACAATAAGAAATAATAAATCTTTCTCGTTAATCTAAGTTCAAATATATATATATATATATACAAGAATGAACATGGAACTATGAAAATCCGGAAGGTTATGGGGGAAAGATAATATTTGATTTGTATGCGATTTCACCAAGAAAAAATTTACTGAAAACAGAATTTAGAAAATAAATATAAAAGGTTTTGAATTTTTCATGATATTTCGAAAAGAGAAAATGTCGGTGTCTTGATTGGAGGAGACAATCTCAAAAGCGATGGGCCTATAAGCCCAGTGGGAATCACGTGATTGCATTTCCAGGTACAAAATGAAACAGAAAACACCTATTGTCTGGATTGTCACTTCAGTGTTTTGTCCTTGTTACGTGGTCGTTTTTTTCTTTTGTTACGTGGTCGTTCCTTCTATTTTAGGTGGTCGTCAATTTTTAATGGGTAAGAATTTGGATTTTTGTGAATAAGCTTACGGTGTTCGAATTTTTATTTAAACATTTATGATTTAAACGAGGGGTTCAGAATCAGTTTCTCTTGAAAAGTAATTGTGATACACGTAAATTGATTAAAACACTTTAATTATAAAAAAGTGAATAACATTTAATTGTTTAAGGAAATTGGCACATTAATTAGCAATTTACGCCTTGCTAAGCTTAATTTTCTTGATGTTTAATACAATATTACCCAAAATAATTTTAATAAAATAGAAATATATTTCACATGTATTTCCTAAATTTTGCATCTTTTTCTTAGATAATATTATAATATAAATATTAATTTTTTAGTATAAACATCCTAAAATTTCTAATATCTTGATTAAAGGTCAATCGGTAACTTCACAAACATTAAATTAAAAGTCATCTATTGAGTACTCACCTTTAATCTACACGATAAAAACTTCAATTTTTTGTATCAACATAATGTTTTTTATATATTCTAATGTTTCTATCAGGTATAAATATTAAAATAATTTTTAACGTGTATTTCTACTTAATCATTCAATTTAATTTAATCACAAAGAAAATGAAAGTAAAAAAAAAAAAAAAAATCTCACATGATTTTGATAAATTACTAATATTTTATATAATAAAGTCCTTTAAATAATTAAAAAAATAGGACACGTTCGCATTAAAGTTTAAAAAGGACAAAAAAATGATAATCTCAAGTCGGTTCACAACCACCGTATGTTTTAAACAAAGCATCTATAAAACGACTAGGACACCATTTTGGGTCTATAGTCAACATCTCAATTATAAAATTATTAAACAACTCCATTATTTCATAAACAAATTTTTTTACTCTTTTAAAAGCGTTTAAACGTTTTACACATGGGCTTGCAGACAAAACTTACCATCTAGAAACTTTTATCATGTAAATAAATTTGGAGACATTTACATCTCACACACTCCTATTACACACCGTTTTGGTTTTCATTTTCTCCTTCACTTCTCCTTCTTACTTTTTCTTCTTTTAAGTTTCATTCATGGCTGGAGCTCTAGCCAAGATCAATCAGACGATCCATGTTGCCTCTGGGAAGCATCACAGCCGTCCATCATTGCCGTATAGGAGGCCCATGATGGTGTGTATGTCACAAAATAAATCTTATTGGGCCTCCATCCATGAGGATATTGAGTCTCATCTCAAGCAGGCTATTCCACTGAGGGAGCCGGTCGAAGTTTTTGAACCCATGCGCCATTTTGTCTTCACTTCCCCTCCAAGCACGGCCCCAGCTTTGTGTATCGCCGCCTGCGAGCTTGTTGGTGGCCACCGTGACCAGGCCGTGGCTGCAGCTTCTGCCCTGCATGTTATGCATGCAAGTGCTTATACTCATGAGCAGCTTCCGTTGTCGGACCGGCCTAGAGTGGTACCTACTTCCAGGCCCATAGCTCATCATGTCTATAACCCAAATGTAGAGCTGCTCCTTCCGGATGGGATTGTGCCCTTTGGGCTTGAGTTATTGGCAAGATCCGATGACCCGGCCCAAAATAACTCGGGACGGATTTTGCGGGTGATGATCGAGATGACACGTGCTCTCGGGTCACAAGAAATGGTAGATGGGCAGTATAAAGAAATATTATGTAGCCAGTTAGATGACAAGGATCCACGTTACGCTGAATTAATAAATTACACGTGTGAGAAAAAGGAAGGTGGGTTACACGCGTGTGGTGCCGCAAGTGGTGCAATATTAGGAGGTGGAAGCGAGGAGGAGATTGAGAAATTACGAAGGTACGGTTTTTACGTGGGAATGATACAGGGAATATCCCAAAGGCTAATACCAAATCAATCGAAGAAAATAGAAGAGTTCAAGAATCTAGCACTCGAGGAACTAAAAGGATTCAATAACGAAGCTAATATCGAGGCGATTTCTAGTTTCATCAATGTTAATTATAGTCATGTTTAAGCTTTAAGATCACGGAAATATAAAATCGATAATGTTTTTAGTCCAATATAAGTCGATAACCAAAGAATAATATGTTTTTATGGGCGGATGATTTAGAAGAATCCGAAAAGGGATTGATGTTAATGTCTAAGTTGTGGCCCTGTGGGTCTTAGTATCAAAGGATTGTATGAATCTCATGTAACAAAGTGAAGTTATCAAAATCAAAAGTTCTGGATTCTAACAAGTACTATGAGTTTCTGGAAATTTATGTCTTGTCTTTATCAAATTTTGTGGTCACATGTTATGATTTTATTATATTTCTAGAACTCAAAAGAATGACCGACCAGACATAAGGCTGATGTTTCCGAAAAGATTTTATGGTTTGAGTTACAAGGAAATCAAACATATTGTCCTCCACTCAATTTGCATAAAAATTATTATATATTTTGTTAGGGGTTTCTATGATATCAAAATTCTTAATCATGTCGAGTAGGTTAACCGAACTATGATTTAACAATTCATATGGGACAATGGTATCCTGGTAATTTTCAAAAATCTTTTATAATTCATATAGATGGTAATATTATTTTAAGAAACCACCCTTACATGGCCGGGTGAGACTATATAAATTTTTGAGTGTATTACTCAAGAGATCTTGAGTTTGATTCTCCTCGGTTGCTAATAAAAGTGGGCACTAAAAAGTTTACCTGATCATTAACTTCAAAGTCTGGTAGATTAGTCGAGGTGTACGCAAACTGATTTAAACACTCCTATTAACAACATTAATAAATATATAAAAACATTGTCAATAAGAACTTTAATCGTGATTTAGAGGTTAACTGAACTATGATTTAATTATTCATGGAAAAACGTATAGCTGATAATATATAGAATTTTGAGAAATTATTGAATTATATGGGATTTTATAATTCATGTGGGTGGGCATAAAAATTATTTTTTAGATCACCTATGTGATTTAACACATAGTGATTATAAATTAATCAATTACTTTATAATTACTGTTCCCTAATTAATTACTCCCTCTGTTTTTATATAAAAGTCGTTTTAAGTGTGTAGTATTTTTTCAAATTAAAAGTCGTTGCTTTCTTGTCTTGTCTCCCTTCTCACTTTTCGTCATGGCCCACATCTTCTCTGTCTCTCTTTTATCTTATCTTATCTCTTCCCCTCTTCTCTTCTCTTCCATATTTTCCATCGCCTAGTTCTTCTTTCTCTACTCTGCGTCTCTGCTTCCATCTTCAACCTCATCCTCATTAGAAATTACCACCTTTCTGAAACAAGAAGGGTCGAACTTGTTGGACTCTAGTTGAAGTCTATAATCTTTAATTATTTCCTTTACTCGATAATCCAACAAGTTTAAAGATTTGGGTAACAACTGGGAGAACTTTTCGGAACAAAGTTTAAAGACAGGATCCCTGACTCGGACTTTATCGAAGGTCAATTCTTCGACTTTAAGGAGCCACGTTTCGCTAGGTTGCTATGTGGAGTTGAGGGGTTCGAAGGCGTAAATGGTGGACTGGGCGAGAGAGACGTCTCCATAGGGGTAAGGTGTGAGGGTAGAGTACACCTCTACTATTACATTGATCGGCCATGGTGACTGACCGAACAGAATCAAAGAGATGGAAAATGGAACAGAAATGGAAATGAGTGAGGGACGACAGAATAAAAGAAATGGAACAGAGTAAAAGAAAAGAAAGAGACGAAGGAGAAGAATAAAAGAAATGAAATAAGACAAATGTAAATTATTTAAATATGCAGTGGGAAAGTTTCCCACCTGCAAAATCAGGGGAAAAAGTTGGATGGGATAGACAAAATTTTTTTTTATTAAAAACCGTGTACACCCTTAAAATGATTTTTATATACAAACGGAGGGAGTATATATTAGAGGTGATGACTAACACTAAATAGATTAGAACTAAAACAAGCATGAATTCATTGATTCTCAAAAGGGTACAAAACGAGAAAGGCTAAATCAGTAATGGACAATTACTTGTCAATTTAAAAGGTTTAAATTAAGATTAATGATGAATTTAAGGTCAGAAAAAACATTGTTAACTATTACTTGTCAATTTAAAAGGTTTAAATTAAGATTAATGATGAATTTAAGGTCATTAAAAACATTTTTAAATTGTTTTTAATCAAAATTTTGACTTTTAGGGTCTAAAATATTTGGGCAATGAAAGACACTTTAGAATGAGAACAATGGAGTTGTTGTTATGTCTCTTTCAATTCTCATATGGGCTAAGTTGATGGGTCATTGAAGATTGATTCGGGCCCATTTGAAACCTCTCTGACCAATTTAGATATTATGGGTTGGGTCAAGGCCCATTGGATATAGTGAGCCCAATTTAGAGCTAAAAACTCAAATTGAAATTAATAACATTTGGGGTTGGCGAATGTCTCTTAGGTCCAGTAAGATTGAAAAGTGACACTCTTTGCCAGATTAGTATGTGAAAGAGTGTTAAACAGGGAAAGGGTATTTTTGTCTTTTAATATAAAGTATATTTATAACATGAAAAAATAAAATTGAAAGTTTAGAAAAAAACAAATAAAACATTCCTTATCCCCACCTATAATCGTCGTGACTTATAGAGGGACGATCGTCTTTAGTAGGTATGAGTTTAATTTATCATTTTTTTATAATTTTATTCTTTATATCATGCGGCACATTTTTTTATACAATATTTTCTTTTTAGTCACAAAAATAGGGGCATTATAGACATTTTATTTGTCAAGCTTTGATATAAACACAAATCCTCTGAATGGATAGTGATCTAACAGGGATTATATTTCCAATAATACTATGCTTACTCACGAGTTTACTAACCGCCTTACTACTTTTGTTAAAATTACATATAGTACCCGTAATATGCGTATGGTACCTGTACTATGCATTATATTTACAAAGGATAGTAAAATGGTTAGTAAGATCGTGAGTAAGCATAGCATTACTCTTATATTTCACTTTCGGATTTTACTGGACTCAAATGTTACTTTTCTTAAACTTCAAGGACAAAAATGTCATTAATGTCGCAAAATTGAAGTGTATATAGCAAGGACAAACCCTGAATATTTAATAGAACCCTACGACATCACATTTAAAACAGGCTTTTTGCAATAAAATTCGAATCCACTCTCTTTCAAAAGTGATTTCACCACATTTGGCATATGATTTATTAATAGAATGTTTAAAATGTATATTAACGACCTAATATTATAATATTTTAGGTCAATAATAACACTTAACGTAACATCGATTATCCGACTAATAATATTATTTCATCAATAACATAATATTGATTAATAATATTGAATGAGATTAAACAAAAAAAAAATTCATGTTAAAAAAGTTAAATTATATTATTTTAGAATGATAATAACAATTACCATAACATCGTTTATCCGATAGATAATATTACTAAATTGATATTATTACTTTGATCGATAATACAGCAAAAAGAGAAACCAAAACCAATATAAAAATTCACATATATTGATTGCAATTTTTACACAAAAATAGAACCTTTACTTGAAACCCTAAACAGAATTGATCTAAACAAAAATTTGAGGCCTATGAAACCATCACAAAAACCCTAAAAAAACACATACTATTATTTACACTAAATAATAATAACAATACCATAATTTATGAAATAAATTAAAAATCATTCCTCAAGAAAACCAGTTCTTGTCAAAACAGCATTTCTCACTTTGCTGAGATCTCTCCCTTTGAGTGTCCTCCCAACTCCTTCAAACACTGAAAATGAAGAAATTTGACTCCTTGATTGCCTTCTTGCAATGAATTCATGTGGAGGAACCCTGGAATCATAACCAACACCATCATCATCGTCGTCGTCGTCGTCGTCGTCGTCATCATCGTCATCATCAAAGCTATGATAATTTTCATCATCGTCATCATCAAAGCTATGAACATTCTTGGAGGATTTCTTTGACTTGTGGTGGTGGTGGTGGTGGTGGCTATTAAACTTTGACCAATCAGGGATTTTCACAGGAGCCGATTGAAGCTTTGTGACTACCGCCGGGCTGTTGCTGTTGCTAGAGCCACTGGTGCTGCTGCCATTGCCACTTGTTTTCGGGACCATTCTCGCCGCAGAAGGGAGGCGCCGTTGAACGGAAAATGAAGGTTCGAACTCAGAATTATTTATAAATTGGCTTACTTTAGAAGAGGGTGCTGATGAATCTCTTCTTTCTTTGATCACAGCCCACACTTCTTCTTCTTCAAAATCTCCATCGGTGAATGATTTCCATACTCCACTTCCTTGCCTGAAGTAGCCATACCTATTCTCCATTTATAGTTTGTTCCTGAAACCATAAAAATCCCAACTTTATAAACATTTTGAGGATTCTTCAAATCCCCAGATAGATTTTCAGGATTACTCAATTGGGTATCCGGCAAAACTCAAAAAGATTCACTCAACAAAGCAAGAATGAAGAATCTACCTTTACTTGAATTCAGAATCTGCTTTTTTGCTTAAGATTCCAAAGGGTATCTTAAATTCTGCAAATTAAATCATAAACAAAATTAATTCTTGAAATTGGGATAATACCTGAAGTTGATTGAGAATTGCACCGATTGTAGGTGGATTTAGGAGGGATTCTTATAGAGGAGAATTGAAGAGACCAAGAACAGAACAGAACCGAAACCGGAGACAAGTCACTTTTGCCTGTCAGAAATTTACATTCAGATGTCTTTGTTTTTAACTTAGTGGCTTATAAAGCCAGAGAATTTCCTTTTTATTATTATTATTATTTTTTTTTATTTCTGAGAAGAAGACAAAGCCAGGGACTTTGGTCAAAAATATGGAAATGAAGTAAAAGGGTAAATTCAATTTTGGAAAATTTTTACTAAGTTTCCTTATTGTTTATTACTATTCTGACGGGATCATCATCAGAAACTGAGTCAGACAGTCAGACTGCTGATTTCTCGCCATTTTATTGATCAAATTTGGAAGAGAAAGTTGGGAGAAATTTATTGCTATGACCAGTGAAAATAACTTGAGGATTTTATTTATGTCATGTAAATTTCCTTGCTAGATTTTTAATAATAAATGTTTATTACACTGTCACCTTTGAGGTTTGACAAGAAAATTTTTCCCTTCACTGTGGGAAACTAACAATCTCACCCCCAAATAATATTTTTGTGTGTTAAATATATAGTTTTGGACAAACGGAGGTTGGAAGTTTAGGCCAAATGGGTGACTGTTT